ATAATCGTGAAGTACAAAAATAAAAATATTTAAATTTCCTTTAACCTCAACGCAACATTTAGGTATCCAGCTACCCAGGCAAATTACCTGGTGACATTTGGAAGCTAACAACTGTGCGTTTTAAACTTTGAATATGAATAAACTTAATCTTCATCCATCATATTATTTAAAGTTGATTTCAAAGTTAAATCATCAAAGTCTAATTGTTTTAATAGTGTAGAAAATCTTAAAATACTTTATTATTAGATGTAAATATTGTTTTTTCTTCGACTTTAATAAATAAAGATGACTAATATCACACTACGGAATACCTGGCATCATTACGGATCCTAGTGTCAGATCCAATCTCATCTCTACTTTAGATTAACTACCCAAAGTTAGCACTTACAAATGATGACTGTTAGAAAAATCTACATCTTGAATTAAGCTGAACAAAGTTTTAGTGCTCAGAAACAGTTTCCCTGACAAAACTAATCTTGACAGATGAAACAGTAACAGCCACATAGCGAACATTTGAATCATCATGCCAGGCTTATGAAAAACTAATTTAGCCTAGAAAATCTAATATGTTCTTTCTTTTGTTCGAGCTTCTGACTGCAGAGTTGCTGAACACTAGCTTTGACGGAAAATTTAAGACATGGGATATCCCTACCCTCTTCCCTTTTATTTCAAAAACAAAAATGTACTAAATTTCTTTAAATTGCCGCACAATTATGAAATTTTCAAAAATTTATAAACAAGTATTTATTTCAGAGGGGAGTGGGGCAGGGTGTGTTAGAACATCCGTGCAATTTTATCTAAAGCAATATACATAAACAAATAGCATACTTCGTTTACTTTACACACTGTAAAATACATACCATTTCTTAAAATTCCTTTGAAAATAGCTGTGGACATATTACCTCCACCAATAAAACCAATATTGTATGACAATGACATGGTTTTCTTCAGGCTTTCTTTTTTCTGTAGAATTTAAATACTAAAGCTATAGCTAAGCTTTGAGCTTTGTCAATTCAAATGATTCAATTAGTGAGCACTTCTTATCTGTTTGTGTACATTATTTGAAATATTATGTTGATAAAGCACAGTAGCATGGGCATAGAATTATTTTTTTTTGGAGTTTATGGCCTGGCATCTAGACCTTTAGGCCAAGTCTTGAGTATTTTTATTCGGTTTATTATAATTTCCCCACTGTATTTTTGATGAATTTATATAGAGGCACGTAATAGGATCTATTTTTTAACATATCACTCAGGCGGCGGGAGGGATCTTGCACTGTCACTGTCACTTGATTTTGCACTATGTCACTAATTTCACTGACAAGAATCAATCTGTCAAATGAAAAGCACTCACATGTAAATATGAAATGTTCGATATCACCAACAGAATTATTGCAGAAGGTGCAGTAACTGCTCTCCACTATGCCCAATCGAGCCAGGTGGGCCGGGACGGTGGAGTGACCAGAGCGCAGTCTATTTATAGTGGTAACAAAGTCCCGACTGGCCATTTTCAGTTTGTTATACCATGGTGCTACAGGTAGTTTTTCTTGAACAGTTCCATACCATTTACCCTTCTGTTCTTGATCTTGTTTCCAAAATTCGACCCATAAGCTATTGACCTGGTTGTCAATAGATTGATAACAGTCGGTCAAAGGTACTTTTACTATGGAGCTAACATCCAACATGTTGGTTCCATCACGTGCAATTTTATCTACTATCTCATTTCCTGTTATGCCCCTATGTGATGGAATCCACATGAAAGAGACCTGTATACCCTTTTTTGCATAACTAAATAACAATTTTTTAATATTATACAAAATATAGTTTTTTTTAAAGTCACATCTGAGATTAGTTAAACTTTGGACCATACTTAAACTGTCTGTTAAAATTAAAAAATTATTAAAACTATTTATATGTGCAATCCTCTTCAGGGCCTCGAGGGCCGCATATACCTCTGCAGTGAAAACACTGCATTTAGGGTCCAGAAGAAAACTTTGACCAAACTTGCATTGTGGATCATAAACGGCACTGCGCACAAAGAGCTCACTTTTGCTACCATCTGTATACAAAGTATAGTAGTTATTGTCGGAAATAAAACTTAATAATTCACAATTATTAAAAAAATTTTTGGTAACAATATTGGTCTCAAATATAATACAGGAATATGGGTATGTGTAGCATGTCCACTTTGATTGTTTAATTACATTTTTAAAATCTTCATTCATTTGCTGTACAATGAGAGGCAAAACTGGAAAATAACCTTGTAAAAGCTCACCTCCCGAAGTCTGCTGGACCGAGCATTGTAAAGGAAAAGGTACTATTTTTTTGAGAACATTATCATTACCAGATACCAGCTTTAGTAAATATCTCTCTATTAGCAGAAGTCTTCTAAGACACAGTGGCATTATTTTGGTTTCAACTTCCATAGCTCGTATGGGAGTTGAACACATAGCCCCAGAAATAATTCGCAGAGCTTTGTTTTGAATTATTTATTTATTTATTTAAAACTTCATATACACATGTGGTATATAGGCGGACTTAATGCCTAAGGCATTCTCTACCAGTCTACCTTGGGATGATGCAGAGATATAATGAAGTAGGAGTAATAAAAAGGTAATATGTTAATACTAAACTAAAATAACAAAAAAAAATTGTAGCACATCGAAATAAAATACATAAGATATAAATGGTAATAAAAAATATAATATATATATAATATATAAAATATATACTTATAAAATAAATTATGATAAAAATAATAAGATAATAAAAATGTATATTACTTAAGTACATATTAAAACGTCAGATGTATGTAAACTCATGAAGATATACAATTATAGACATAATCAAATAAAATATATATATATTTATATATAAAATATATATAAACTATTACTATGATGAATCTGCCAATTTATTAGTTAAGTATTCCCGAACCTTCATCTTGAACGCGTAACGATTGCTAGCCGTCCTGATTTCGAGAGGTAGTGCGTTCCAAAGGAGAATAGATTGAATGTGGAAAGAAGAATGAACAAGTCCAGAGCTATGGGAGGGACATAGGAGAAGAAGGTTGTTCGTAGAGCGGAGGTTTCTCTCATGACTAGCGCTAAGCAACTGAAAGTATGGAGATAAGTAGGAACAGGAAGTTGGAGACATCAGGATAGAATAAAGGGTAGTGAGTGCACGCAAACTACGGCGTTGACGAATAGGTAACCATTTTAATTGAGATCGATACGTGGATACATGGTCATACTTTCGAAGATTGAAAATGAATTGAATGCAGTTATTCAGAAGACGGTCATATTTATTGAGAAGATCTGCATTCAGGTCGAAATAACACACATCACCATAGTCGATTAGGGGAAAAATTAAGCTTTGCACAAGCATTGCTTTGATTGCAGATGGCAGAAAATTTTTTAGGCGATAGAGAGAACGCAGGGTACCGGTAACTTTCTGGCTAACGGTCGTTGCTTGTTCTTTCCAACTCAAAGTAGAATCAATTAATAAACCTAGATCCTTCACAGTAGAACACAGTTGGATCTCAGTACTATTAAAAAAGATAGGAGGTAAAGCTACCGTTTTCAATCTATGAATCATCCGACGGCTACCAATTATTATGGCCTGACACTTCGAAGGGTTGACCATTAGGCCAAACCTGTCAGACCAGTTCTTAATATACTCAAGGTCCCTGTTAATTATGTCCACCGCTGTAGAAATATTGTCAATACTCGCTTGTGTGTACAGTTGCAAGTCATCGGCATACAGATGATACGCAGACTGAAGGTCTTGGGTAATGAGATTAATAAATATAGAAAACAACAAAGGAGATAATATGCCGCTTTGAGGAACACCAGCATGTAAGTCAAGCCAGCTAGATGATAGCTCATCGATGCGAACCGACTGCTGGCGACCTCGAAGATATCATCATCATTCATCATTACAGCCCTTCACAAGTCCACTGCTGAACATAGGCCTCCCCCAAAGAATGCCACAAAGCACGGTCCTGAGCCACCTGCATCCATCGACTTCCTGCATGTCTTACCAGGTCGTCACTCCATCTCGTGGGGGGACGCCCTACACTTCGCCTACCGGTACGAGGCTGCCACTCGAGAACCTTTCTTCCCCATCGGTTGTCGGTTCTTCGAGCTATATGGCCGGCCCACTGCCACTTCAGCTTACTAATCCGTTGGGCTATGTCGGTTACTCTGGTTCTACTGCGGATATCTATCATTCCTAAGTATATCACGCAGAGAAACTCCGAGCATAGCCCTCTCCATAGCTCGCTGAGCGACCTTGAGCTTCCTCATACGGCCAGCAGTGAAGGACCACGTCTCAGTTCCATAAGTCATCACTGGCAACACGCACTGGTTGTACAATTTCGTTTTCAGGTTTTGAGGTATGTCTGACGAGAAGATGTGTCGTAGCTTCCCGAACGCTGCCCAGCCGAGTTGAATCCGTCGATTGACCTCTCGGTCGAAGTTGGACTTACCTAGTCGGACTATTTGTCCCAGGTAAACATACTCGTCAACAACTTCGAGCTTAGTGCTCCCAACAACTACCGGCATAGGTGTGACATGGACATTGAACATGATCTTTGTTTTGTCCATGTTCATCTTAAGACCTATCCGTTGGGAAACACTATCGAGGTCATTGAGCATAGTGCTTAGGTCTTCCAGCGATTCTGCCATAAGGACTATATCGTCGGCAAATCGAAGGTGAGTGATGTACTCGCCATTGATGTTGATACCGTATCCTTTCCAGTCCAGAAGCTTGAAAACGTCTTCCAATGCAGGGGTGAAGAGTTTCGGGGATATGACGTCTACCCTGTCTTACACCTCTCTGCAATTGGATAGGTTTCGTACTCTGGTTCTGTACTCGGATAGCCATCGTAGCCCTACTGTACAAGCACTTCAACACTTCGATATACCGACAGTCAACTTGGAACACGGTTGTCTTATGCGGGGTCATAGAATTGTTATTCCAAAAATATATAGGGATCGTATGTTAGAAGAGCTTCATAATGGTCATTTAGGAATAGTTAAAACCAAAGGCATAGCGCGCGGTAAGATGTGGTGGCCGGGAATCGACTCTGCTATCGAGCGATTAGTGTCGAGCTGTAGCGCGTGCAGCGCTGTGCGGCCCGAACCGCCGCGCGCGCCCCCCGCACCCTGGCCTTGCGCGGCAGCCGCCTGGGAGCGCGTGCACATAGACTACATGCAACTCGGACACCGCACGTATCTCGTTGTTGTAGACAGTTATAGTAAATGGCTCGAATGTCTCCACATGTCCAGCACTATGTCCACTAAAATGTTAATACAAAAACTTAAATATTTGTTCTGTACTTTTGGTTTACCTAAGTTATTAGTTTCTGACAACGACCCAAAAATATGTAATGCGGAATTTCGATTTTTTTGTAAAGTTAATGGTATTAAATATATGACGTCTCCTATTTATCACCCCTGTAGTAATGGCCAAGCCGAAAATTCCGTACGCACTTGTAAGAAAATGCTTAAATGTATCCTCAGTAATAATTTAAATGTAAGCAATGAACGAATGAATGAATTGTTGTTAAGATGTCTATTCGAATATCGCAGCAGCATTCACAGTAGCACCGGTGAAACACCCTCAAAATTAATGTTTGGTCGTGAACCGCGAACGCGATTAGATTTAATTTTACCGCCTACGAATACAGACATGCAAACATCTTGTGATAGTAGTGTAAGGCGGTTTAATATTGGTGAAAAGGTTTGGGCGCGTTGTTATACGTCCCGTAAACCATTTTGGTCCCAAGCTACAATTGTAAGTAGAGAAGGTAACAGAATGTATACGGTTTCAGTTGCTGGTCAAGGTGTTTGCAAGCGACACATAGACCAACTGCTGCGATATACGGAAAGATACAAGACACCTGAAACTGCGAATGACGTATGTTGTGCATCAACATTTCAACCGCAGTATCCGACTGCCATCTCCCCTGCACCTCCTCCCGTTGGTATGCCGGGTAGTATAAATAACGCTCCGCTAGTCAATACAGCATCTATGAACACGCATTCTAACGCCGAGACATCTCCACAGGAAGGCAGTGAGCCAACTTTAATGCTAGATGAGGATAGAGGAGAGGCGGTGGTGGCAGATCGGCAGAGTGTCTCGGTGGAGGGGATTGTCGATCGACAGAATGGCGGGGAACAATCAGAGTCTGCTTCTGTTGCACCTAAGCCCGGTCCTTCCGCGCCACAGCGATACCGAACAAAGCATCCCTCGCTGCCGTTATAATCTAAGACCAAGAAAAAAAAAATTGTAAAATTATAAATTACTTTTTTGTTGTTATTAGGTTTTCAAATTAATGCGGAAGGGGTGATGTATATGCGCACTGGTACTTCGAAAGAACGAGTCAGTAATAAATCAGCTCTCTGGCAGTACGGTTGTTTCATTTAAATCGCATACACTACAAAAATAGTCCGCTACCACATTTTTATCGCTAGAGACGTATTGAATCACATAATTATATGCTGACAAAAATAGTGCGTACCTTTGGAGGCGCGATGCCGCCATTACCGAGACTCCATTTTTCTTACCAAATATGGCTAATAAGGGCCGATGATCTGTTTTCAGCTATTTCTAAAGCCCTTGCAAAAGATAGACTTGAAATATCTTGCTCGAATAGTCTATCCCGCTCGGGGCCCGTCCCCAAGCCTAGGACGAAACGATCCAACAGAACCGTTTCTAAGGCGGTACCAAAGTTGCAATAACTTGCAAGGCCTCGTAGTCGCGCCGCCCATTCTCCTAATGGCTCGCCTGGGTTTCTTGTCGCTCCGTAGAATCTTGCTTTGTCTACGAAAGAACTGTGCTTTGGCTCAAAGTGCTTATCGAGTAATTCAACCAGTTCTCCGTAACTTAGCGATGCTATCTCGCGTGGGTACGCAAGGTTACGTACGAGTCGATAGGTTTCATCCGAGAAGTTTGCTATAAGTATTGCACTTTTATTATCTGACTGATGTTATTGACTTTGAAAAATTGCGTCAATTTTCCTTTAAAAATCGACCACTCACTATTTTTATAGTCAAAGTTCGGTACATTTCCGATGTAAGCCATTTTTTTTTGTGGGTACTTGTACACACCTCGTCGCCAAATGTAGTGTATGCGATTTAAATGAAACAACCGTACTGCCAGAGAGCTGATTTATTACTGACTCGTTCTTTCGAAGTACCAGTGCGCATATACATCACTTTCTCATAGTCCACATACGCCAGACATAGTGGCAAATTGTACTCTTCGGACTTCTGTACAATTTGCCGAAGGGTATGTATGTGGTCTATGGTGCTACAGCCCTTTCGGAAACCGGCTTGTTCGGAATCCTGGAAGTCGTCAAGTCTGCGCGCGAGACGATTCGTAATGACTCTCGAAAACAGCACGTAGACGCGGCTCAGAAGGGAAATCGGTCTGTAGTTCTTCAAGAGAGCGTTGTCACCTTTCTTGAAGAACAAGACCACCGCACTTCTGCTCCACGCCTCCGGTGTAATGCCACCATGGAGGACGGAATTAAAGAGCTTCTGAAGGACTTCAAGTACCGGTCTTCCACCCGCTTTCAGAAGCTCCGCTGTAATTCCATCCTCGCCTGGGGCCTTACCGTTTTTAAGGTGCTGGAGAGCCATTCTAATCTCGCTCAGACTGACGTCCGGGATATCTTCGGAATAGTGTCGGATGAGACTCGCTCTTGGATCGTTACTCACACTTGCGTGTGGCTCCAACGATGACGTGTACAGCTGCCCATAGAACCTCTAAATCTCACTCAAAATCTCAGGTGTCCCGGAAACGATGCTGCCACATCCTGTCTTCAGCTTTGACAGGTGGCTCTTTCTGGCAGACAGATCTCTGGCAAAGACTTTGGAGCCTTGGTTCCGCTCGATCGCTTCTTCAATACGAGCTGTATTGAAGTTGCGTAAGTCCCGCCGCATGCATTTGGAGATCTGTCTGTTCAGATGCCTGTATGCTGTCAAATCTGTTGAAGAATGTAGCTTCATCTCCCGTCTAACAGCCATGAGATTAAGAGTGTGATCGGAGAGTTTTTGTGTTCTTCTGCGGCGGGTCTTGCAGAACTTAGCTCCGACCGCATGGACAGTTTCCACGAGCTTGTCATTCATATCGTCCACTTCATTGCAGTCTTCTAGGCACTGAAAACGGTTTTGTAACTCGAGCTGAAAGGTTTCGGGACTTTGGAACAGAGCCCGAGGGGGACGGAGCGTTGACTTCATTAGACGAGACCTCTCCAACTTAACGTTTAGGTTCAGTGTGCCTCTAACCATTCGGTGATCGCTACCAGTTTTCACCCTCGCGATCACGGAGACATCACTGAACAGTTGTCGTCTGGTCGTCATAATGAAGTCAATCTCATTTTTTGTCGTACCGTCGGGGCTCGACCAGGTCCACTTCCTGTGGGGCCGCTTCTGGAAGAAAGAGTTCATCATAAAGAGTCCCTCTTTTTCCATGAAGTCGGCCAGCTGCTGGCCCCTTGGGTTCCGTTGCCCTATTCCAAATTTCCCTACTTTCAGCTCACCGTTCTCTCTTGTGCCTAGTTTTGCATTGAAGTCTCCCATTAACACCGTATATTGGGTTTTGGAGGAATGCATGGCTCTAGAGATATCCTCATACATTTCCTCCACCTCCCCATCGGGGTGTGCCGAGGTTGGTGCGTAAACCTGTATGACCTTCAGCGAATACCGTTTGGTGATTCTGAGTATAAGGTACGCAACCCTCGTCGACACACTCCCGATCTTTACAACGTTGTTAACGAGAGACTTGTGGACGATAAATCCGACACCTCCTTGGGACAGATGGTCGCCCTCCCGGTGATAGAGCAAGTTGCCGGATTCGAGGATTACCGTGTCCTCCCCCTCTCTTTGGACTTCGGATAATCCTATAATATGCCAGCGCAACTTGTCTATCTCTTCTTCCAGCTCCACGATCTTCTCGTCAGTCCTCAGGGTGCGTGCGTTGTACGTTGCCAGGTCGAGTCGTCTAAGGTGGCTACCGAATCTCCACCGGAGATTCTTAGCACCCCCTGCCCCGCCGTTACCATGGTCGCCACCGTAGCCAGGAATAGCGGGGCCGCCGGGGACTGGGGGCCGTCTCTTTGTTACATTCATAGGGGGGTATTTGCCATAGTTGCCACGCTTGGCGAGCGGGTTGGCAACCGCAGTTTTTTTATTGTAATTTTGGCTATTATCAGGAAGATGCTGCTGCCCATCTCCTGCCTGTTTCCCTTTGTCGCCTTTTACGACACCCACGGGAGGATATGGGGTAGTGGTATTCTTGATCGCCACTACACGGCACTCGAACTCGAAGATATGATGAAAACCAATCCAGTGCTTCGGGTGAGACCATTGAAAGGGAAAGGATGGAAATTAGAAGGTCATGACTGATGGTATTAAAGGCGTTCGAGAAGTCAACTAAAACCAACACAGTGACTTTAGTATCCTCTATGCCTGCCCTAATATCACCAGTTACTTTCAGGAGTGCGGAAACGGTGCTATGACCGGGCCTAAAGCCAGACTGCAAGGGACTTAGTAAGTTATGACAGGAGATAAACTGCGAAAGTTGCTTGTGGACACAGGCCTCAAGGACCTTGGATAAGAAGGGAAGGATGGATATAGGTCGGAAATGATTGGGTAGAGTTGGATTTGTGATCTTTTGTAGTGGAATAACGTAAGCCTTACGCCACAAAGAAGGAAAGTCACCAGAATCCAAGGAGAAGTTAATGATGTGCGAGATAACAGGGAGGATATGGTCAAGTATAAAGATAATCATCCGTCGGCTGATGTTGTCGCAACCTACACCATTAGATTTAATGGATAGGATTGTCTTCTTGATCTCATCCATAGCTACTGGAGAAAATTGAAAGAGATCAATATCGGGACGAGGTAAACCCATTAAGTGTTCAATAGTAAGACGCTTGGTCTGGTGATCAAGAGGACTGTTGGAGACAAAATGAAAATTAATATCATCCAGAACAATCGTCTTCTGAAACTCACAACGTTGTCGTTTACCGATACCTAAGGTTCCAAGGAACTTCCAGATATTAGCAGGGGAAGAAGATGAGATGTTACTAAGAATAAATCGGCGTTTGGCGTTGCGTATCATCTGATTGCACCGGTTCCTTGCAACTTTATAAAGAGTCCAGTTCTCATCACATCGATCTTTTCTAAATTTGCCAAAAGCCCGATCCCTACGCCTCATCGCAATTCGAACCCCAATCGCCATCCATGGCGCAGGTGGACGCTTGAGCTTCACTTTTTTAATCGGAGCATGTACATCATATAGCCTAAGGATAGCTTCATTCAAAGCTTCTATCTTTTCGTCCACAGTGGATGCAGAAACCACGCTGTTCCAGTTTATTTTGGATGCATCCATACAAAGTTTTTCAACGTCTAAGCGACCAAAACAACGCATGTGAAGAGTTTTAGCTGGAGGTTTAGGAGGTTTTAGTACGTAAGAAATGAATATGAGGTCATGATAGGAGAAAGCAGGTGCAAAGTGCTGCCCGTGGGAGAAGACAAGAGAAGGAGCAGAGGTAAGGATTAAGTCAAGCCAGGTATCCTCTACATCAATATTGTGGTGAGTGGCTTGTAAAGGTAAAATGTGGAGGCCAACCGACTCGACAGTGTGAAGGAGCTTAGAGGAACGGGATGAGTGCGGAGTCAGGAGGTCTGTATTAAAATCGCCCATGATAATGTGATGTGAGTATTCGGACCCCAAGGATTCCAGAATCGTTTCAAGACTGGAGAAGTAATCGACAGAAGGAGGACAGTAAACAACACCAAGAATCAATTTAGCTCCTTTTACGCAAACTTCAAGGAATAGACATTCTGCAGATGCAGTATAATAAGGGGAAGAAGAAGCTACAATTTTATAAGAGAAGTCGCAACGAAGATATATAGCGACCCCACCCCTCTCCTATCAACTCGATCGTTTCGTATCAAATTGAAGGCAGAGAGAGGGTAAGAGGTAGAAGGAAGATGGGGCTTAAACCAAGTCTCCGAGATCAAGACGGCATGAACATCAGCGTCAGTGAAAGCCTCAGTCAGGTCACTGTAGTGACTAGGTACGCTTTGTGCATTAATGTGGCAAACATTAAACAAGGAGCGAGATTGTTCGAATTTACGTCGCACAAAATCCCCTAGCGTTTCAGTAAACGAGCAATAACTGTCATTTGATGAACAAAACTCGTTGGCAGAAAGAAAAGAATCATCATCGGAACTCAGCTATATGTAATAGAA